CACTGTTGGTGGGAATGTAAACTGGTACAGCCCCTCTGGAAAACAGTGTGGAGGTTCCTCAGGAAACTAACAATAGAACTCCCCTATGACCCAGCAACAGCACTGCTAGGAATTTACCCAAGGGATACAGAAATGCTGATGCATAGGAGCCCATGTACCCCAATGTTCATAGCAGCACTCTCAACAATAGCTAAAACATGGAAAGAGCCTAAGTGTCCATCAACAGACGAATGGATCAAGATGAGGTTTATCTATACCATGGAATACTACATGGCAATGAGAAAGAATGAAATCTGGCCATGTGTAGCAACATGGATGGACCTTGAGGGTGTTATGTTGAGCGAAATAAGTCAGGCAGAGAAGGACAAATATCATATGTTTGCACGTATAGGAGGATTAGGAGGAACTTAACTGAGGAACAAGGGGGAGGAGAAGGGGAGAAATGGTGGGGGAAAGGGAGAGAGGCAAACCATGAGAGAATCTTGAATGCTGACAAAAACTGAGGACTGATGGATGTGGGGGGGAGGGGGGTGGGCATGGAGGAGGACACTTGTTGGGATGAGCACTGGGTGTTATGTGGAAACCAGCTTGACAATAAACTATTTGTAAAAAAAAAAATAAAAAATAGTATCGGTAACCCCCAAGTAGGGAGCTATGTGTGTAGACTTTGGTATTCAAGCAAACCAGGCTGGAATCCAGGCACCAGCAATTCCTAGATCAGGCAAGTCATTTAACTTTTTTGAACCTATGTTATAATTCATAAACAAAATAAGGAATAATATTGGTGCCTGTCTCATGGTGTTTTGTAAAGATAATGGGTAACCTCCATAGTACCCTAAGAATCTTAAGTGAATTTTAACTTTGATTGTGGCTATTACTATTAATAGACATAAAATGTTTTCTGATAAATGTTAATTTCAATTGATTTTTACTTAAGATCTATTGGTAGATCATAGAATTCTTACTGTTTTCTTTGGGAATATCTTACATTTCTTCTTGAGCACTTTATTTTCCTCTAAATTCTTGACTTAGGCTTTTATCATTGAAGTTGTTCTGAATAATCTCTATAAAAGTATTATATTTTCCAAAAGCCACATGTGCATAGTGAAAACAAGGAGTTTATTACCCCACTTACCTTTCTGATCATGAAGATATAAATAATGGGATTATATACAGTGCTTGATTTAGCAAAGAGATATGAAACAATTGATACTGTTGGAGTAACCAGGTGTCCATAACCATTAACCACCAAGAAACAGATCACAATATAAGGCATCCAAAAGATCAGGAAGGTAGATATCATTAAAAAGCACATTTTGGCCACTTTCTTTTCATATCTTAAAATCTTAATCACTTGAATTGTCTGAAGATCTTCAACACATCGAAGCTGCAGAAAGGAGAAAGGGTTGAAAATGAAAGAATTCTTTTCTCACGCTGTTTCAATAACAGACATGTAGACAATAAACCGTAGCCCTTCACTTCTCAAACGAGGCAAAAACATGGGATGTCAGGTCTGCATGGTTAAGCTGGTCTCAGTGAAACTTAATTCCCAAATGAATTCTTGCTGGAAACTATGGTCACTTCCAACTCCGAGCCAATGACTACAAAATGGGATCTGATGGGATCCTTGCTTATGCCTGGTTTCATCAGGGCTCAGGTGCACAGAATACCTGTAGCCACATCCCTGTAAACTCAGCATATCTGCTCTGAATTTATCCCCAGTAAAGGCCCTGAGGAGTAATGAACTACAGTCTGAAAAGTGTTTGGGTTTCTTAGATAAACTTTCCTTAGAAGTTCCTTCTATTGTTATTATAAATGTGTTACTAAAGGGAGGGGGATAATATTCCTCTACACCAAAAGTATGTTCTAAAATAAAATATTATTTTTGACCATTCTAAAAAGCTAATTTTGCTACAAAAGTACAAATGCTTTCTAAATTTAAAAAAGGTATCGTCTATACTGTTTATACTTCGCATATAATTTTAAACTGGGAAATTTATTGCGGTTCAACAAACTGTAAGTGTTCCTTTTATTCTAGCATTATCATAAAAATTAAGGAAATTTTTCCAAATAAATCAGTTAGAACATGTGCTTATAGTATTTAAAAGTATATTTGAATTGATAAACTATTGACACTATATCTAAAATCATATTTAAGAAACTATGTTCTTAGTAGAATCATATATTCCTATTTACAGAGAACGGAAGGGTTAATGGGTAACTAAAATGACTGAGCTTTTTAAGAGTATAGGGAATGTGTAGGAGTGGGTGGTTATAAGATGTCTGATACCATTATTTCCTGTGTGTGCAATTCTATCTAAAAATCTTTTTTTCATGTTTTATTTTTTGAGAGACAGAGAGAGACAGATTGCGAGCAGGGGAGGAGCAGAGAGAGAGGGAGACAACAGAATTCAAAGCAGGCTCCAGCTCTAAGCCGTCAACACAGAGCCCAGTGTGGGGCTCAAACCCATGAAGGCAAGATCATGACCTGAGCCAAAATTGGACACTCAACTGACTGAGCCACCCAGGCGCCCATTTGCAATTCTATTTTAAAAGAAACTGTGTTATTTAAAGTGATAGAATACTATTCTATTTTCAGGACAACATTTTTGGGGGGTGTGAGATATCCCCAAGAGTTTTTAAGAAGGTTGTGAAGTTCTAGTAAAAGCTCTGGATTTGGAATTAGGTCTGGGTCCATATCCCAGATTCACCACTTCTGCCCCTTGTGTGACATTAAGCAATCAATTACTTCCTCTGAGGATCAAGACTAAAGGACATTCAAATGAATAACTTATTGGAGTTAACAGAAGCTGGATCTCACTTCCATACATATGACTTTGTGGGATTGTTTTCAATATTATTTATTTACATTGGAATTATATTTGAAACTAACATATGTCTATGCATTTTTACTTTTATGATACTATAGGATATTAGGAATCATGAGTTTTGGTTCCTCAGAGTTTCAGCTAATGGGTACTGAGACCACAGTTCAATCATCCATCCCCAATTCCCCACCATCTAGGGCCCCACAGACTCATCTCTACTTTTTCCAGGTAACTTAGTCCCCATCCTCTTACCATTTTTCAAAGCAGAGCACACATTTATCATCCTGGAATTATATGCATGCTGCAGAAGTTAATTTAAGGAAAATATTGGCCTATACTTTCCCATTTTCTCTTTGGCCTAAGAATATGGTTCTAATGTTTTGGATTATTTGGGCTTGTATATGTGAAGCTTCCATGGTTATTTTTCATTGATCTCTTTCTGGTCTGTTTTATCATTTTCTATTCTTTCACTCTGTTCTTTCAATGTTTTCCAAATAAAGAGCTTCACTTCATGTCTCACCCTATTTATTCAGTCATTTGAGTGTATTTTTCAAAATTGCTGTGGATGAAGCAAAAGCACATGCACAGTTGAATGTCCTGAACTATAAGTGAAAAAATAAAGACTGTGTCTCTGCTTTTAAGGAATTCACTGTATGCTGAGGGTGACAGGCACACACGTTACTTCCATAGGTGACACATGTGATGGAGGAGGTGACCAGGGAGGGCTATGGGAATACACAGGATGGGTAACTGATTCAGACATAGATAAGGGCAAGAAGATCCTGAGCTCAGCCTTCTAAGATGAGTGGGAAGCAGCCAAGTAAGGAGGGACAGAATGTTCCAGGAAAAGGAAACGTCCCAAGGCAAAGAGGTAAAAGAACACATGTCAGGCCCTGGGAACAAGAAATGTTGCACTTGGCTGGAGCCAGAGGTGGCAAGAGGGAAGGCATGTCAAGAAATAAAGCTGGACACACAGACAAGAGGTGGCCATGCAGAACCCTGGTAGTCAACTCAGAGGCTTTATATTTTTAATCATGAAGGCAGGGGAACCACTAAAGGTTTTTATGCTGGGCAATGGCTTGAGAAAATTTGCATTTGAGAACAACTACTCTGGTGGAAGTGTAGAGACAATGAATTAAAAGAAAGTAAGAATAAAGGAAGAAAAACTAGGGCCCCTTTGAACTGAATCTGTGGCAAGAGGAGAGGGGAAAAAGGACTTATGGAAAAAGATTTGAGGTTGAATAGATGATAATCTCTCTGGGGATACCTGGATGAGGAGTAGTCAAAGATTTACTCTCTTATTTCTGGCTGAGGAATAATGAGCATTTACTGAGAAAGGGAATGGAAGAGCAGCAGATCTGGGGGGAAGGATGACCAATTCGTCTTCACACACACAGAACCTGATGAGTCTGGGGCCATTCCAGTGGAGGTGTGCAATAAGGAACTGACTGTGGGATCTGACAGAGGTCAAAAGAACATCCTAGTTCAGAAATAGAGATTCCAAAGTCACCAAGCTATTGTTAGAAGGGGAAGTCCTAAGAGTATATGAGATGCCCATGGCCAGTGTGTAGTATGAGAAGATGTCTAAATACAGAATTCAGGTAGGCCCATGGGAAGCAGCCTTTGGCAGAGACCTAAGAATATGGGCCAGAGTCAACAAGAACCATAGGACAGAATGGAATCCTCAGTGGAGGAGAAAACCACAGTTCAGTGGACGTTTTCAATAGGTCACGAGTGTTAAATGCCATGGATGCCAGGAAAAAAATAGAAATGTGTCTATTGGGTCTAACATTTGATATATTATCGATTACCTTAATGCAGGCTGTTTCTGTGATAGTGTGATCAAGGAAGGAGGCACCAATTTGCAATGGGTTGAAAGATAACTACTAGTTGAATGTATTAAACTACAAACTCTTTGAGGCAGGGGCTATAAATTATACATTGTTGTATCCTCAGCACTTAATAAATATGTTAGTCAGCTTGAGTTCCCCTGATGATATATCCTAGACTGAGTGACTTAGACAACAGATATGTATTTCTTACAGATCTGGAGGCTGGGACGTCTAAGGTCAAGGTGCCAGCATGGTAGGTTTCATTCTAGGATCTCTTTTCTCAGCTTGGATATGGCTGCCTTCTCAATGTGCTCTCATATGGTAGAAAGAGAGATGGAGGGACAGAGCAACAGAGAGAGAAAGAGAGAAAGCACTGGTTATGATTTGAAATGATATATATGGCTAAGTTTCATTTTGATTTTTTTTTTTTTGAGAAAACGTGAAAGCTATAGAGGTTTAGCAGAATGAGCAGGGGACTGAGGAGCAGAAGTTCGTCTGAGGAGAGAAGACACAGAACTGGAAGACACAGTGGGTGGGCAAGGAACACATTCATGGGTAAAGTAGGAGACTGGCAGATGGAGTGTTCCCTGTTCTGTCACTTCAGACTCCTTGTTAGCACCCAACAGGAACCCTCCTGGTGGTTAGTTCTTATGCTTTATGATTCAAAAGTGATTTCTAGAAAAAATATCTGTGCTATTCTCTAGTGGCTTTATGTGACCTTTGAATGAATAAAATTATGGGAAGTATGGAATTTCTTTGGTTAGAGTTCTTGAATTCTAAGAGTGTTGGAGAATGCAGGTGTTCTTGGTTGTTGTTGATTTTGTCTGTCTAGAACCTATTTCCTTCCTCCTTGTGGTTTAGAGAGTGGCGTATACAAAGTAGATGTTATTCCTCGTTGGTCTTTTAGAGTGCATAATTCTGTCAAGTGGGAAGTCCCCTAGAGCTGTTTCAGCTGCAGACAACCACTGTTCCCGTAGGAAGAGTTTAGTTATCTTCCACACAGAATTTTCCACCCCAGACATAGTTTAGGGGAAGGACATTTGCAGTCTTCAACTCACCATGCGAACAGAATACAGAATATGGCCATAGCAATGGGCTATGACGCCCACAGGCACCACCAGGCAGCCAAGAAATAAGAAAAGCACAAAGGAGGAGTCATTGGCATTCTTGGATTTCCAGTCCACAGCGCAGCCTAGTCCATGTACATCCAGGATATACCTGTTCCAGCCCAGCAGAGGTGCTCCTGACCATGCCAGTGAGTACAGCCAGATGTAGGTAATGGCCCTCCAGGCCCAGGAAAAATTGATCACTCTGGCATGGACCACACGAATATAACGTTCATAGGCCAGCACAGTTAGGGTGGTAATGGAAACGATCCCTGCAAGAAGAGAAAGTGGGGCAGTGTAACATGGCACTGGGGAAGACAGACATAAGAGACGACACATTGCCCAATGGAGACACATTACAGAGTATCTGGAACCAACAAGGTGCTTAAAATCTGGCATATCTAAGAGGAATAATGTCTCACAGTCCCCAGGAAATTTAATTGGACACATAATCACCCAGGGAAGAAAACAAACGGTGTGTGGATTGCACCAGGACTAAAAAACCCTAAAACCAGCTCTGCCCCAATGATTCAGCTACTGTGTTACACCTTCTGCCAAAGAGAAACTCTGAAGACAGTCTCAGGGAGACTCACTCAGGGTCTCACTTGACTTTACCTTTTCTCAGTTGTGTCTTACTCAGGATTGAGTAAATTAAGTGGGCTTCACAAGGATGAACTGGCCCAAGTTATGGTACAAGTATGCAAGGGGCTGCATTAACCTTCCTGCTAGCAGATATCAGCCTGTGAACTGTACTCCTGCAACATTGCTAACAAGGGAGTGAAGCCTTCTGTGCTCCCATGGGCTTCATTTATACCTCCATTTTGCAACAAATACACAGAAACAATATTATTTTTTTTTTTGAGAGCTCTTTCGTTCGTCATTTTGGTTAGCTTTCTCTCTCTTGTTGGTTTTATTTTATTTATTTTTTTTTTCAAATAGTTTATTGTCAAATTAGTTTCCAGAAACAATATTATTTATGTCTCTGCCTCTTCTCGAAGAGTGACTTGTATATTTGACAAGCTGCTACTGAGCACCTACTGTGTGCCAGTTACTTTGCCAACACTGGAGGTTTAAAAGTGACAGAAAGGTGGAAATCTAGGTGCTTAGAAGGAACCCAGTTGTGTAAATAACAGTAAGACGGCAGGAAGTGTAAAGGCTACAATTCCCATACAATGTCCTGCTGGAGTCACAGAACAGGGGGCACTTGTCAACGAGGCAGGAGAAGCATGTTCCAGGAAGGATGAAGAATTATGTGCTGGAACATAGAGACCATTTAAGCGTCTAAACCTGATGAGAGGATTCAGAGGTGTCAGGGCTCAGAGCATACCAAGGAGAGAGAAGGTTAAAAGCAGATGAGCCCATGCATAATGAGAAAGGCTTTCAATTTCTTGCCTTATAAGGGTTTTGGTTTCTTCTTTTCTTCTTCAAAAACAAAAACAAAAAACTTTGCCTGTATAAAATAGTAAATTATAAAATCTGCTACTCCATCATGTTTTTTTTTTTTTGTAAATGTGAAGTGACAACACTTAAGTTCTCCTTTTCCTCCTCCTTTTTCCTCTGAAAAGGCACTCCTTCCTGCAGTGGTATAGAACTCCAGTCCTAGTCCAGGGCCTGGAGACCAGTTTGAGCCATTGCAATAGTCCAGGCAAGTACGATGGGGCCGAAATTAGAGTACCTTTAAAGGTGTGAACTGTGAAGTCCAGATTCCAGAGACAATTGATTAATATCAACAGAACCCATTGGTTTATTGAATGTGAAGACAGAGGGAGAGAAAGGAGTCAAGAACAACTTGGAGGTTTAGAACCTTCATGATGATTCGAGGGTGATTACATTAACAGAGATCAAAACTATCAGGTGTTATGAGCAGATATGGGAGAGAAAATGAAATTGTGAGCTCCCTACAACACAACCAGTATAAATACTTGTTGAATAAGCAGATCAAGAGGGGTTGTCTAAAAAGTGGTTCTAATGGAGAATGAATATAAGACCTGTCTCAGGTAAGTAGGTAGTGGGGTGTGTGTGTGTGTGTGTGTGTGTGTGTGTGTGTGTGTGTTTGTGTGTGTGTGTGTGTGTATGGCAGGCTTCAAGAAACCTGGAGTGATCCCAGCTCTCTGACTTTAGCAATTCATACAATCTCTTTAAATTAGTTTTGTTTTGGTTCTCACAAAATTGAAAAGTCCTTCACATTATCAAATTTTGTGACTCTGCATCAATAAGGGTGTGAAATGAAGGCAATGGCCGTTAAAGGCATTGGCAGAATACAGTTAATATCTATTTATACCATGACAGGTTTGTTATTGTGGGGAGGGCAGCATAATTCCCAGTGTCTGATACCTGTGGTATTCAATAAATGTTCATTGAATAAATGAGTGAATGTTTAATAAGTATATATAAGTGACTGGAAGAAGAAGACTGGGTTTTCTCACATGGTAGAGGAAATATTTCAGGAAGTAGTGTTATAATCATAAATAGTGAACTAATGTTCAGATTATATCAAATAATTCTGGAGATTCTTGACTTATCAAGGAAAATATCAAGTTAGTTATGCTGCCTTCTGAACTAAGAATCAACTTTCACCTCATTAAAGTTCTACCTTAAGATTAATACCATCTTTTCTTTAACTGACTATGTTCCCAGAAGGTAACCAAAAACCTAAGATAGTGTTGGACTCTAAAGATAATAGGACTCTCATGAAATACTTTCGGTTTTATTTAGTTTACAAACTTTCTTATCAAATACAATGGTATTTAATTCTATAATTGCCTTTAAATGTTAAAACATAGTTTTGGGCCTTCAACTCTTAATTTACCTTGATTATGATTTAGTTCTTCTTAGGCAAGAAAACTTGCTGCAAATATGTTGCAGATTAGCAAATCCCAGAATACCTTACAGATGCATAAGTGAGTTCTGATAATTAGAGGGATAAGCTGCTATAATTTTAATTGTCATTCATATATCCATCCATCCGTCCATCTGTCCACCAATCCATGAATTCTTTACTGCTTATCTACACATTTCAATCATGTGCCAGAGAATAGGTACAAAGAAGAGTGAAGTAAGCGTCTCACAGAGCTTATAGTCTGCTGGATACCAGTGATAATATAATCAAGTCAAACAAGTAAATGAGTGATGTGGTTTCAAGGAGGGAGTTGGTGCAGAGAAGATGTGAGGGAGGGGGCTGTAGACATAGAGGAGTATTGTTTTAAAGTTTACCTATTTATCTTGAGGGACAGAGAGCATTTGGAGGGAGGGGCAGAGATGGAGAGAGGCAACCCCAAGCAGACTCCACACTCCGTGCAGAGCTCATTGAGGGGCTCTAAGTCACGAACCGTGAGATCATGACCTTAGCTGAAAGCAAGAGTTAGATGCTTAACTGAGCCGCCCAGGCCCCCCGAGGATGTGGCAGTCTTACCTGGGAGTCAGGAAAAGCCTCATTGTACCCAGAGCTGAAGTATGGAAAACCCCAGCTCTTCCAGAGCCTGGATTCAGTTGCTGACATTCAGCACCTTAACCAGTTAGTAGTCCCTAAATTTCCCGATTTCTCAGGCCTTCCTGACCGCGTGGGTACCTAAATGGTGAGCCTATTAGTCAGACTGATTAAGTCTTCTTGGGTGACCCATTTAAAAACAGACCTAAACTACATCCCTTCCTTACAAAATTTTTTTTCTCTCTTAACAACAATTATTTACTCGTAAATTTTGGTCCTGGACCAAGTCAAAATTATTTGCTGTATTCTGGAGAACAGCAAGGGGAAGGTGACTGCGCCCAAAATGAGCACCCATCATATGTGAGGCCCCATAATAATCATACTACATATGGTATCCATCTTCATGGAAAAGGAGTTTGGTGGCTCACAACATATAAGAAACCAATAGGTGGTGGAAACAATTTTGAGAACCCAGGACTGGCTGACTCCCAAACCCATTAATTTTGCCCTTATCTACCTGTTCCCACAAGCTCTGCTAGGAGTATCATGATGTCCCTCGCTCTCTGCCAAGCTATAGACTGCTCACACATGTAGTGTGTCTCCCTGTGTCAAGTAGGTTCTCCTAGGAGGAACCATAGATGCATGGTGCCTACCATTGAGGAGACTACAATCTTGTACATTCTTGTAAAGCCAAGAGCAGCTCTAGGTAACATTCGAGGACAAGGGAAAATGATACGAAATTGTATGTTAAGTTTAGTGTGCAACAACACGCCTGAAAAGGTAAAATTCCAGTGGATGGTGTGTGGGGATGGCATTGTGAAGATGTAACACTTACGCTGGGTCTTCAAGATGGAATAGGGGTTAAGAAACAGAAAAGACCAGAGCAGGCGTACTGGGGTGGAGGGACTTCTGCAAAGGCAAGGCGGCCCCCCTGGAATTCTGTCACAACTGTCCGACTCCGATGCGCGGAGAGGTAGAGGCCAAGCACGACCAGGCCTGCTGCAGACCTGCCTGCGCATTCTGCGGCTGGCGGTGGGCCAGCGCAGACACCTTCAGTTTGTTTCCTTGTGCTTTCTTTCTTTTTTTTTTTTTTAATTTTTATGGTTTATTTATTTTTGGGACAGAGAGACACAGAGCATGAACGGGGGAAGGGGAAGAGACAGAGGGAGACACAGAATCTGAAACAGGCTCCAGGCTCTGAGCTAGCTGTCAGCACAGCCCGACGCGGGGCTCGAACCCACGAACCGTGAGATCATGACCTGAGACGAAGTCTGACGCTTAACCAACTGAGCCACCCAGGCGCCCCTACTATTGCTTTCCTTAATAGAATTTTGAAAACCTGTGTGCACTCTCAAATATTTAAAAAGCTATTCTAAATTTTTTCACCTTAAGTTTAAGGAGTTGTATAACGTAAATATAAACATTTTTAAACAAAACTATTACCTTATTCTTTCAAAGAGATCAAGTAATTCATAAAAATGTTAGTGATTTCATATTTATATCTCTATATATACACGGATATATATTCAAACACACACACACAAATATAGCAAAGATCAATCATTTAAACTTGTATTTCCATTCCACTTTTCTCCTAAAAGTTTTTTTCTAGTGTAATATATTGGTATGGTTGAAAGATTTTAAATTATTTGTCTTGTTCTTTTCTATTTAGAAGTTGAAAATTAAAATTTCTTGGATAGTAAGGCTCTAAATGTCAAAAAATGGTCTTATAGAGGGAGTTATCAGTTTCTAATGTATATAACTGATCAAAATATCCTGTTAAACATTAGAAGTAAAAAAATATTAGAAATACTTCTCTTAAAATGATCAGTGTAGCTTTCTTTC